CAACGGTTTTAATTGAATTTTATATGGTTCACAGTACTACAAAAAAATATAAAAATATAAACCCTAAACTTTAAGCTAAACTCAGGAAAGTTCAACAAATTTTCCACTCTTTAAGCAGACTTTTTAGAATTTTTTTAATATGCAGTCTTGTGCGCATTAAAAATGCATATTGAAATTGCTAAACAAATCGCGTTGACTATAAGAATTTTTTTTTTTTTTTGTTGAAGTTGTTTTCGAATTTTTTTTATATGGAAGAAAACTCGTAAAAAAATTGCCCAAAAACCAACGGCAAGTCTTATAGCGTTTTCTTTTCTCAAAAAAGGTTCTGCCCTTTTATATGGGAACTCTTGCTTTGCGTTGCCCTGAAACCTGAGAAAATGTTGCGCTCTTTATATGAGAATGAAACAGAAAATATACTACTCCATCACAATTTATTTATAGAACTTAATAAAGCTGAATTATTCACTTGGCCTGTAAGTCTTTAACAATTTTAAAGCAAAACACTTATTTCTGATAGGGAAAATAATTGCATTTTTACAAGATTAAATTAAAAATCTACCATGCAACTCCCACCCTCACGTTTATTTGAGGGCAGAAAAGGCAGCACTTTCGCCGGATCAGAGCGCAACCTGCTGAGAAAAGAACACGACGCCTTGTGAAAGGGCTGAGAAAAGAACATGAAAATGTGACAGCGCTAGCACAAGGCAGAATAAGTGCAGCCTTTTTTCGAGAAAAGAAAACGCTATTAGCTACTTAAAAGTGGCACTTTATTGCACTAAAATTTTCCACTTTTTTATCAGATTTTTTAGAGTATGCAGTTTTGTGGCCCATAAAAAAACAAGTTTGAAAATGCTAAATAATCGCGTTGAATTTTGAGAATTTTTTTTTGTTAAAGGTGTTTTCGAAAATTTATGTAGAAATATTCCCAAAAATCGGCGGTAATTCCTAAATACTTAAAAGTGGCACTTTATTGCACTAAAAGTTACTTGCTACAAAACTGCATACTCGAGGAAATTTCGAAAAGTCTGATTAAAAAGTTGAAAATTGGCATGGAAATTTATTGAATTTTCCTTAGTTTTGTACAAAGTTTAGAAATTATATTTTTATGTTTTTTGTTGCAGTAAAACCTTTTTTTTATTATAAAAATTTTTTTTTATATATTGTGGAAAATTATCTGCACCATTACTTTTTTCCGTGAGTGTATGTGTATGTATTTATATTTTCAAATCCAATAACCTACATTAAATGTTCTTTTTTTTCAATTTTAATTTCCACCCTCATGCGGGAAACTTCGAACTTGTAAACAAACCTTTTAGTTTAAGTCTCAAACTCTCTTAACAAATTTTTGTTTGAAAATGAGCCGCGGAGTTCCGCGGATGCCCACATTTGGTTAATAAATGTCTTCTTTTTTGTGCCCGATTTTGTGATTTTGGAAAGATAAGATTGGCGCATACTTTATAGTCGAATGTATTTGCCTTTCTTCTTAAAATGATCACATGATGAAATTAAATTTAATTAACCAATATTGATTTCACATTTGAGTAAAAGTGCGTAGCATTTTCTTGCATTTTAAGTAGCAACAACAAAAACATTTGAATCGGCTGATTTCATACTTTGGACAGATTTTGACATTTATGAGAGAATAATTTTTCGTACTCTCTAATTACCGGACCCAACCAGTGAAGCGTGTGAAACAGAGTTCTTATGTTTCCAAGCCTTGGAATGGAAAGAAATGGAATTGTGGGTGGCCGAAAAAACCAAAAACAATTTTTATTGTTATTGACGACTTTAACTTCAGGGTGATCGTGCAGTCGGAAACTTCAGCTTTCACCAGAAAACTCCAGGCAATGGAGAGGGGCTGATCGACTCCGTCGCGGCACGATGCATGTTAGTTAGCAGAATTTATAAGATACCGGCATCGGGGCATACACAAAACGATTTGCGTGACCACTGATCACTTGAGCAATACCGGGAAAAGAGAAGGGAGAAATGTCGTCTATTCACGAGGAAGAAGAAAGATACCTAAATGCGAAGAGCTTGAGTTGCTGACAGGCGGGAATACGGGTATAGCCGGAAAACTCTATCAGAAAGTAAGGGAAGAACCAAATGGTTTCAAGACCGGAGTTAGTTCCTGAAAAGAGGAAAATGTAAATCTGGTAACAGAACTCCTTGTACACTTATTAAATGGGGGGACGCTTTTTAATAGCGACACTGATGGCGCTATGGGGATGAAGCTTGCGTCCACCTCCTCCAGACCAAGATGGCTTAACAGCAAACCCCGCATAACATCAGCTATCCACAAGAAGGGATATCAAGCTGTTTGCGTGGGATAAGCCTGCTTAATATTGTTGCATATACAACATATCTACGTACATATGTACGTTCCTCGTCACTAGCTCTTTAGAAATGAACTGATTGGACCATATCAGCTTCGCTTCGCGCATGCAACATCAACAATTGGCCAGAGTTTCAAAGCTCGTCAAATCTTTTTCCGGGATTCAGACCTTTGAAAGCATGAAGAGAGCCAGCCTCTTTGATGCCATCTCTAAATTTGGAGACCCCGCATAACTTATGCGCCTATTTAGAATGAAACTGAGCACAACCATCAGTACTCTTCAAATGGAGAAGGAGGTTTTAGACAAGGCGATTCGTGCAGTTTTAATTTCCTGAACGCAGCGATACCATATCGACTGCTGAGTGGAGGATCGACCTATCTGGGGAGCTAGTTCGAAAACGCCCTATCTCAGAAAATTTTTAAAAAAGTCCTATTTCAGAATTTGGTTGAAGAAGACCCTATTTCAGAATTCGTTTAAAAAACGCTCTATCTCAGCTGCCGATTCGAAAATGCCCTATATCAGCACATTTTCAATACATTTTGAAGTGAGATAGGGTATTTTTTGAATCTAATTCTGAAATACAGTGTTTTTCAATAAAATTCTAAAATAGGGCGTTCTTGAAAAGTGTTTTGAGATCGGGCGTTTTCGAAATGACTGACGAGATAGGTCGATCTTCCACTCAGCAGTCGATATACAAGAAAAAAAAACAAAACGCTCATACAAGCAGATGAAATTAGAAAAGCACATACAAAAAGTTTTCAAGTGGTGGCATACACTGCTGGCAGTTATAAGTTTAAAGTACTGATGGACTTTTGCTACCAGGGATCCCAAAAATGTACCAGCAATAATATCAGCCTGGAGATTAAGCCAAGAATAGCTTTTGCCATCAGGTGCCACTATGGGCTCGGTGAGCAATTGAAAACAAAATCCCTTCTCGACCGACAAAAATTAAGCTCTATGCAGCTCTCATCATGAATGTTCTTTAACATGGCGCAGAAACAAAAATGAGAAGGTCCTTGGGCTTTCGAGCACTTCTACCCAAAATCGATGGCCGTTTTTGCGTGGATGATGGGTACCGCAGAAGATGGAATGTTGAAATGTGCCAGCTTTTCAACCACGACTGCGCTGGCTTTGTCACTTCGTAACATTGGACGAGCAGCTCTGCAAGCAAGGGCACCCGCGAACAAACTGGAAGGACCAAGTGAAGAAGGATTTAAGTATCTAAACTTTTAATGCCATCCCGAGCATCTCGCTCATTTAGCTAAGACTAACTCATGTAATGACGATAACTATGTAGGTCCTCTGCACTCGCAGTTAATTGCTAATGCTGCCTTCTAATTTCCACAGAAAATATTACAGTCTTTAGTTGGCTTTGAGGAATTTTGGGTTTTTTTTTTTTATTAAAAATATTTGTATCAAACTCGATTGTAAAGCGCATTAAAACGAAAATCTGACAACTGGCTTGCCTTAACAAGTTTTATTGGTTTCTTCAATTAATTTACTGATTGTTTCGTGTTAAATATTGGTGTCTCATTTCAAATAATTTTGTTGTAAGAGAACACATCAGACACGCGTGTTTTCCAATTTTATGCCGTGGGCTTGCCTAGAGCCGTAAAATTTTGTATACTTTCATGCACAAGTATGTACAAACATTTTTATACATGGGTGTGCACGCTCTTCACGAAGAAATCCGCTAACAAATTAATGAAATCAATGATTGAAACTCGGAAGGAGAAACAATGAAAACTTTTTGATATCACTAAATAATTGCTGAAACATTTAATAAACTTATTCCTGAGTGTTGTACACATTCATATTTACATAGGCAACCTGCGAAATATTTCGCTGCCACATGAATAAACATTTCGTGGCATGCGTAGCGGCAATTAACAGCAAATTGTATAAATATGTGTGAATATATGTACAGTTTTGCACATGAGCATAACTTAGTTAAATATATGCAGCATATACTATAGTTTATGTACGTACATTAGGATGGATCACAAACAACTGTTACTGGTTTTGCATCGGAATTATAAGATATATTATATTTCAAGACTTTCGCCAAATTATTTCGAAAAAATATTAAGATTTAGGTGAAGATACCTACGAAAATCTCGTTATTTTTTAACATTTTTATGTAGACCCTTTAAGCGTAAACTTTTCTATTTATCGAATTTATTTTTATTGAAAAAATTTTATTGAGCTTGAGGCCGTTATTAACGAGACGTTTTGTGCAAAAACAACAATAATTTATGGCATCAATTTCAATAAAAAAATTTTCTAAATAAATTGTTGTTAGGACAGAAATTAACAACAACAAAAAACTAATTTTATATACAAAAAAACTTGAATTTTTTATATATTTTCTTATCGGTTCAGCTCATGTAAACCTTAGTATTTTTTCGAAATATTTTGGCGATGGACCGATGGAAAAACAGTACCGATTTTTTTTTTTTTGTATGGAGAGTGATGCACCCTAATGTTAATATGTACAATAGTATTTTTTTTCGCTAAACTCCATTGCAACTCACCTTCTGCACATTATTCAAGTACGCTTTCGTTTGTTGCACATTCTCCTCGATTGCCTTGCGTTCTTTATCCTTGGCTTCCGCCACATTCGCCAATGTTGTAATGGCCTCCTTGCAATCTTGCAAGCGTTGGCCTAAAGCATCCAATTCACCTTGCATGAGGCCAGAGGCATCCAAACCAATATCAGCGGCTAATTTCGTAACGATATCGCGCAGCTCGGACAAACGATCTGTTTGTGAATTCAAATTATCCTGGCAAACCTGTATGGAGAGAAGGGCAGAAAAAAGAAAGAAAATAAATTAGAACTAAGTACTTGTTGGCAAAAATATGCAGCGGAAATGCGAGACAACTTAAAAGTGCAGCGATTTTTTATATGTACGAGTATATTAGCAATCTTTAAAATTTCTAAAGGTATATAGTACATTTGTATGTACTATGTACTCGTCTATGCACCTCTGTATACTTACTTACTCTTGCGCTTACATGCGGTGCTTTAAATTAATTATTTAGCACACGAGTTACTCATCTAATTCCTGTCCAAGAAAGTGACTGCTACTTATAGCATAGTTTTTATAATACTTGGCAGCATAAACATATGCGTGTATGTATGTATGTATGTATATATGCTAGCAGTCGCACTTCTGTGCTCACTTCTTTATTTTATAATGCATTTAGCACACACTGTCTGGTCCAATTTTAAATTCCTGTCTTTGCGATTGTCTTATGAGTATGTACGTGCCTCTAGTGGCTATTTTGCGCGCGCGTACATTGACATTCTTCTTCGTTCACTTTCGCAGACACTTCATATTGTAAATATGTATGCATAAATCTACCTTTTCACATACATATGTAGTTACCTAAGCACATGCTTAGTATAATTCTCTGCCAATGCATATATGCAAACATTTGTATTGTTAGCAAATGTGTCAAATACTATTTTTCATTCGGAAGCGCAATAGTTACTTCCATGTAGGGTTGCCAGATTGCAATCGAGGATTATCTGAACTTTAAAAAAAAATATCTGGACTTTTCTGTACAATTTAAAAACTCAAAATAAAACAATTGTGTAGTAAAAAAAATAAAAATTTTTTTATTCAAAATCAAACAAAAACATAAAAATTCATTATGGTATACATTTGCTATTTATATAAAAAAAATATATAGTTTTCTACAAATACATACATACATACATGTACATATTCAAATACATTTTTAACAATAAATTATGTATCTGTAGAAAAGAATTCGGACAAGTATTACAAAAACACAAACTTAAGAATTTCAGTTCCATAAATATTTTGTGTTATTTTGAGCAGCTTCCAATAGTTTTGTACTATCTTCTCGATTTAAAAATTCGATGAACGTTTTACAATTTTCATCTATATTTAATCGTATAACTAATTCAGCTTTAATTAAATCAATAGCCATTTTGTTACGATCTTTGGAATATAAGTCATTTAAAATACTGAAAACCTTCTCACAAAAGGCATTACTCAATGGTATGGAATATATAAATGCTATGAACTTTTTCAAATTCTTCATTTCTTCGTCTTTTACGGAACGAAAAAACGATGCCCATATTTGGTCATTTGGTACATTCTTTGGTATTGCATCGTACACACTTCTTAGGGAACAGTAATCCGTATATAAGACGTCAATATGTAATTCATTTTTTAAGTTTAAAGCAGCTATCACCATTTCTACTTCATCCCAAGAAATTAAGTTTTCTTTTAAGCTTAACAAAGATAAGTATTTTTTTTATTGAGTTATCACTGAAATCATAATGAGTCGTTAAGTAATCAATCGCAGCTTTTAAAAAGTTTTCAGCTTCTTCTTTGAAAATATTTCTTTCGTTTTGTGGGAGTTTTGCCAAAATTGACTTTGTTTTGCTGCCAAAGTATTTATCTTTCAGCTTGCTTTGCAACGTGTTCAGTAATTTTCGCATTATATGATCTACATCAACAATTGTAGAACTGTCGCTTTCTAGCGCCAACACCGATGTCTGAAAATCTGGTAACATATGGTGTAGAAAATATAAATATGCTTCTGAAAGTCCCTCTTGAAAACATTCCTCGTTCTCACTTATAACTTCTGACTCTGGCAAATTTTTAGAAACAAAGTCCCATAATTCCTTTCGTGTAGCTTTTTTGCCCTTTAGAAGAAAGTACCTTTTGACTGCTGGCCAGTTTAAAATGAGGCGTTCTATGGCAGGAAACAGGGAAAGCCATCGAGTTGGTACATGACGAAGAAGAGCCTTGTATTGCAAATTAGCGAATTCGAAGCACTGTTTTAACTTTTCCGAAGCTAACGCCGAACTGCTAAATTCATTAAATATTTTGATCACTATATTTTCAATATCAACAGATAAAGCATTTATTGCAAATTTCACACAATTATTTATAACGTGGCAGTTGCAATTTGCTTTCAATATTTGTTTGTTAAGTCCACTGAGTTTCTGATAAACGGAATTGTTGATGCCGTAGTTGACTGCCGCATTATCTGCACTAAAAGATGATATTTTTTGTATTTCCAGGCCATTGCTTTCAATTATTCGCTTTATATTTTCAAATATGGCAATCGATTTTCCATCAAAATCTTCGTAAAAATCTAAAAGTTTTTTACATATTCCACTGTTCGAATCGAAATACTGGACAGTCAAAGCATATAGCTTTTTATTTCCAATACTTGAAGCATCATTGCCTATGGAAAAATAAACATTCTTCTGCATAGCAATCACAATTTGTTGTTGAGCGTATGGTGCTAATACGTTTCGTGCTATAGCTGCAGCTTTTGTACGACCACATGACATATCCCCAGCAATTTTACTATCACAAAATATATTGCGAGAAACTTTCAAATGGCAGTCAAGACTATTGTAACTTAAACCATGAATTACATTATGAAAAACCGATGCTACTTCAGCTCGTGCAGCTAAGTTTCTTGCCGGCGTTTGCGATTTTGTAGTAAATTTGCTTAGAGAGCCAGCGATTTGTTTCGCCGATTTTATAGTTTGGTGCTTTTTTGATTGAAAGTGTTTTCTTAATGCACTAAGACCTTCATATTTTATTGAAAAGCTTACTACGCAATATGTGCACCGTGCTGTTTGTTCATCAATCTTCTGAAGCCAGTCAGAATATTCTGGAATATTTGTCCAACTGTCTGAAAATGTTACCATTCTTCTCTTATTTTTTGATGGCTGCTCTTCATCGCTGCTTTCTGGCATTTTTACTACATATGAAACACTTACTATTAACAAATAGTTCAAATATTTCCATAATTTTATAACTTACCTGCTTACTTGCAAAATTCGATTTAATATAAGCAGCTGATGTTCAGAGTAGTGTTGGGCAGTATCGATTCCAAAAGTACTCAGTACTCGATGCTGAAAAGTATCGACAGTACCCGATTCTTAAAAGTATCGATACTGACTACTACTACTACGACTATTACTACTACTACTACTACTAACAAGTACTTGTACATAAGAAGTACTCAATACCGAAAATGAACTCCGTACAGAGTTTGGTATTTGTTTCCTTTAGCACCAACATTTTTTTTTAAATATCCTTAAAAAAGGAAAAAATAGAAATATCTGGACAAATTTTAAAATATCTGGACTCTGGACACATAGTAAAATATCTGTACAATCCAGGCGAGTCCAGGCCGTCTGGCAACCCTACTTCCATGATACAAAAAAGAAGGTAGTTCCATTTAATGACATTCGTTGTTGTTGTTAACCATTTGACTTTTAATAAAATTATGACATTTCATCAAATTCATGCTACTTGATCACTAGAAAAAATATTTTTTTGAAAGCAGAAGATTTTATCTGTACATTCAAAGATGTGGAATATGATGGACTTTAAAATTATACCGCCTACATAATTTCGAAAATGGGGTTGATGACTAGGGTTCAGAACGCATGAGGAAAGTGATCAAAATTATACTTACATATCGTCGTTTATACTACGTTCAAATTGGCCCCGTTTAACTTGTTAAATGAAAAAGAGCTTTTTGGAAAACACAATCGTCCACATTGAACATTTGGAGTTAACCTTGACGGTTGTTTGATTACCAATAACAATTCGAAACAAATATTCAAAATAAAGTCTTTGTGTTTCAATTTGTTTTGTGCGAATGTCTGCTTCTTGATATTAACGCATACGGATAACTTAGAGACTTCAAAATGTTTAGTTCGTATGCACTATTTATCTCTGCGTACGATGAGACCTCATGGGAAATATCTAATTACCGCCTGGGCCTCTTTTTAGACAGGCAGACATGCATACAATTATGATATTTTTTGATAATTTTTAATTTTTAATAATTTCCTGAATATAAATTTTTTGAACGTTGGCGTGTCAAATGAAAGCTTTGGGTCTTTCTGATTGGCCGGAGCAGAAAGCTTTCTGATACAACTCTGCGCTGAACTGGTTTTCAAACGAGTTAAAGATTTAACCGGTTAAATTTTCCAACAACAATTGCATGGGATGTAAATAGTTTATGAACTTCTTTTGTTCATTTAACTGGTTCAAGCCCATTTAACATGTTTAGCTCCTCAATTTGAACGTAGTATTAAAGTACAAAACCGCGTATCGTCGTTCTGCAAAACCGCGTAACTAACATTTTTTGCCAAAAATTGGATTTTCTCACACAAGCTCTTGGCTCGAGCCTTATCCATCCGTCCAGAAATATGCTAGCAAGAAATGCGATTGATTTATAAAAAAGATAATAATTTTGAAATATGACGCTACCTTAATATAGAAAGGCCCTATCTGACATCGTCGCTGATATACAAAAAGCCGTAACTAACTAAAAATCGAAAATTTACGTTTTAATTGATAATGATGCATTTGATCGCATTATGTGGCCCCAAATCGTTTTATGCAATAAAAGATTTTAGTTAGTTACGGCTTTGTGCATTTCAGCGACGATGTGAGATAGGGCCTTTCTATATTAAGGCAACGATGAGTGTTTTTACTCTCTAGGAAATAATTTATGCAACTTCACATACGCAGTTTTGCATTTTGTTGATACGCGGTTTTGTACTTTATACGACGATATGTTAATTGTTTATTGGAGGGTGGTCTGTTTAAGCCGACTTCAGGTTTTTTGCATACATTAGAAACTTTAAGTTCAAAATTTGTGAAAGCTAATTTGTTGCAAAATCTGATGAGAAAATTAAAAGTAAATTTAAACCAAAATATAAAAAGGTTTTATTTGGGAGGAACATTCTTAAGAATTAGATTTTTAGATCGCA